CTTGGACCTCTATGGCTGCCTTGTGACAAACCCCAGTGATCTGTTGCTTTCTCCCATCAGTCGTCTCTATCTCGAATAGGTATGACCTATCGAGGCCCAGTCCAACTTGTACCGCCAGGTCCTCGTCTATGATGACAGCCTCACTGCCGTTATCAATCACAGCATCGAGAACCGCTCCATCGTTTATAATCGTCTCCACGGCTCCGCTACCAAGTATATAAAACTTGTCTGGAGGCACACCTTCCATTCCATCAAGAAGGACGGACGCCATGCGATCCGCTCTGGCAGTCACCCCCGTTACTGCTACTGTAGAAGCTTCCGCCTTAGGGGCTCTCTGATCGTTCTCTGATAGAGGTATGCGAGTCTTCCGCGTGATCATCTGTAATTCATCACGAGCCGGCTTCGATGCCGCCAGGTACTTTAGAATAGAGCACTGCATGGGTTGCCGAAGGGCCCGCCTCAATGGCTCGACCGTGTCAATCTCGTCCAGCGAGCTCTTCATTAAGAACTTCTTTACTCCCCGCTTTCGCGGCGAAAGGATAACCTCCTCTCCATCGACCCGCTGCCCGTCCTTCTCCGCCATCACATAATCCGTGTCCGTTTTCTTCGATGTAGACCCTCTCGCCGACTTGGTGGCTGCCATGTCCCCCTCAAAGGTTATCTTGATGCTCTGGCCCCTGACCGGCTCCATTCCTTTACTCGTTTTTATTCTTTTTGCTTCGATATTCTCCTTCATCGAAGAGAACATCGATACATCTCCGAGATCATCAGCTCACTTGACCTACTTGCGGTCGTCAAGCACGACAAGTCCCTCTTCTATTGCCCGTTTAAGGTCCGGGCAATCCCTCTTGATATGATCTTCTCCTCTACAATAGACGCATGAGTTCCTGGGAGTAGACGCCCTGTCGTCTGCGCCCCTAGACATCGATTTCCTGGCCGCGTTGGGGTCAGGCGACTTTGGATATGGTTCTGATGAGACACCATATCCCACTCTCGCATTCCGACTGCGCGAATCGTTGTGCCGGTCTCCTCCAGACCCTCCTTGCTCATACTGTCCTCGCGAGTCATTCCACCGGTCCCTCGAGTCATAGTGTCCTCGTGACTCATCGCGTCGGTCCCCTCGGTTGTACCATCCTCGCGTCCCGTCGCACTGCTCTCTCGCTTCTCCCCCGCGCTCAAACCGTCCACGTGACCCTTCTTGTCGTTCCCAGTCCCTATCTCCTCTCTCATATCTACTCCCCCAGTCCCTATCTCCTCTCTCATATCTACTCCCCCAGTCCCTATCTCCTCTCTCATATCTACTCCCTCTGTAGCCATCTCGACCCGACCTCTCATATCTGTCGTCCCTATATCCATCCCGGTCCGATCTCTCGTATCTGCCGTCCCTCTCACATCGGCCGCGGGAGTCGCCTCTACCCCGATCGGCCTCATAGCGAGGGCTTCGGGGGTAATCATCTAGCCTCCTGGCTCGCACAAACAGCTCGCGATCTCTGCGGTCTCGGTCTATCTCATCGTC